TCCACCCCACCCCCCCCACCAACCACCATCCCAGCGTACCCGAGAGCCCCCCGGCCGCGGCCGTGGCGGGTTGGCGGAAGGCGGGCGCCAGGCTCCAAGTGAAGAAAGCCGAAAAACCCATAAGGGCTCCGGCGGCCGCGTAGGCCAAGCGTACAGCGAGCGCTCGGCTCACCGCCATCGGAGCGCTCCGCCGCCACCGCCCCGAAGCCCCGCCCACCGCCCCCTCCAGGCCCCGCCCACGGACACGCCCATTTTTTTAAACCACGCCCACTTGGTGCCGCTCCCCTTTTGCTGAGCGCCCCCTTGCGGCTTGGAGGATTGAAAGCGTGGATTGGGACACGGGGGGGGCTTGGGGGGGTTTAGGGAGAGTGGGGTCACCGGGGGTGTAGAGGACGTGGAGGATGGAGGGAGATGAGGGGGACGTGGGGGGCGTGGGGCACGAGGGGGTTTAGGGGAGGTGGCAGAGGGCATGAAGGCACCGGGAGGGTGATGGGGACATAGGGGATCTGAGGGGGAGGTGAGGGGTGATGGGGAGATGTAGGGGACGAAGGGGATGTGGGGCCACAGGGATGTGAAGGGGATGTGAGGTGGCACAGTGGGGGGTTGTGGAGACGTCGGGGTGCAAAGGGGACAATGGGGGATATGGGGATGTGAGGGCGTGAGGGAGGTATGGGAGCAGGGTGGTGGGGACATGTTAGTGTGTAGGGGACACGGAGGGGTCGGGGACACTGGGACACTGGGACAGGAGAGGGACGTGGGGGGGGCTGTGGGGGTGTAGGGAGAAAGGGGATACGGCAGCTGCGGGGATATGGGGTCATGGGGGGACATGGGACAAAGGGGATGTAGGGACGTGGGAAGAAATGAGAGGCAAAGGGGTGCAGGGAGACTGCATCCCTATGGAGCCACGTGTGGCTGAGGGGTGTAATGACACCGCGGGGTTGGGGACAGGGGGGAGGTGACAACGGGGGGGGGGGACACACGGTTACGGCTCTGCGCTGTTGAATCCTATCCCCGAGCTGCGTGCGGGCTGCAGGCAGGGCAGTCCCTGCTCTAGGTGGCAGCAGCCCCTTTCCTTTCTGTGCTGAGACACCAAACGTCATCTCCCCTTCCCCGCGTCCCTCCGAGGAGCGCTACCCAGAGCGGGGTTTCTCCTTAGACGCAATGGGAACCCCTCCAAACCCTTCCATCCCCCTGCCTTTGTCCTCTCCCTATGGCTGTTGCCTCCAAAGCGCCCCCAAAAGTGTCCCCAGAGGTGTCTGCAAAGCCGTTCACCTCTTTGGGTTGCACAAATCCCCCAGCTTCTCCTCATCCCAGCCCTTCTCTTTGCACCCAAAGCATCTTCTGCTGCCGTTGCTCGCAATGAGAGTTCCTCTCTGGATGGCATCCCATCCCACACACGTCACCACACCACACAGCTTGGTGTCACCCAGAAGTGGCTGAGGATGCACCAATCCCACTATTAGTGTCAATGATGAAGATATTAAAGGTGGGTGATCCCACTACCCATCCTGAGGGACACCCCTGTCACCAATCTCCATCCATTGGCCCATTGGCCACCACACTCTGGGCATGACTTTGCAACCATCAAACCTTTCCTATTTAGAGCTGTGGGGGTCTGACCCACATCCCGTGTCATTGATGAACACATTAATTAGTGTCAATCCCGGTGCTGAACCCTGAGGGACACCACTGGTCACTTATCTCCATCCAGACTTCCACGAGCTCCCTATAGATGTTCATTGGGGCTGATGGATGTGGTTGAGGTTTTGGCTCCATTGGGGCACCAGAAAGCACAGAAGACACCGATGAAGTGTGACCAACACACGAAGCCTTGGCTGAAAAGCTGGAAAATGAGAACTCTGAGAAATGAGACCTCTGGTGTGAGACGATCCCACACCTCATTTGGGTTCAGCGGTGCTGAGCTCCAGCCCAATGCCCAGGGATGGGTGCAGCCCTCAGGGGGCGTTAATAAAACCCTTGGGAATGAGCAGCAGAGATCAGCCTGATGTTCTGTGGGTGCGTGGATGTGCTGTGACGGCCTTTGGGTTTTGTTTTTACTGGGAAAAACCTGAAAGCTGCAAAAAAAGCCACCTTTTCTGGCACCTTCTCCAGCAGTCACAGGGATTCAGGTGCTTCCTGCACACACCTGGAAGAGCAATAAGCGGTGTCAGCAAATGCCAGGCAGCCATCCTGTGTCAAAACAGATAAAATCAGCTCCACCGCTGTTCTTTCTGGCTGCTCACACCTGTGTGGTGTGCAAATGATCCAGCAGAACGATTTTTTTCTCCTCATTTGGAGATGATGATTTCCACATCCTCAGCAATGGGGGAGAAACCAAAGGGATTTTGCAGAACCGTCAGAAAAAACCTCCCCGAGCCCATCAGGGAAATGGGAAAGTTTGATGTTTGTGAACGAGCAAGGTTGAACCGGGTCATCGTGTCAATGGATTTGGGAAACCTTGGGTTGTTTCCATAGAAAACAGTGGGACAGTGACTCATGTAAATACTGAGCACGCTGCCTTGCATGGGGACACGTAGATAACGTGGCCTTGAGGACGCAGTGCACTCTGGCTTCTGCAGAAATCCACTGCCATGTGTTAACCACCCACCAGAAGAGCATCAGGAGGCAGAATTCCACACGCAGGGTATCTCCCTATACCTAGAAGTGATGGAAAGCCCAAAGGGAGAGGGTTGGATTCTGGGCAGTGGGATTTCATGGGGCTCCTGAGATGGGAAAGCAAAGAGCGCTCAGCAGCAGCAGGGCAGGAAAATGTGGTTTCATGCCTGAGACAGCAGCAGATCCATAACAAAGATAAGGAAGCTTTGCATGATGACGGGAGTGGGGCTGGGTATTCATCCAGCTGCCTCCAGCACGAGCTGGGGAAAGCATGGAGCTCACTGCCAAAGCTGAGGGCTTCAAAGGGATCCACCAGGATGGGTGCGTGGCTCAAAGGTGTGGGTCCAAGATCTGATGCATGGGAGGACTCAGGAGCAGAAGCACTGCACAGAAATAGCTTTATACCCAGGGAAGGAGGGAATAATGTGTGTCCCTTTGATGGGGATGAGATGATGCTGTCTGTGATCCGCATCCCATAGGGGCTGACATCATTGCTGCGTGTCGGGGCAGCAGCGGGAGGCATTGGGCACTGCAGGCTGTGAGTCACCTCATCCCCAGGCAAAGATCTCCGCCAGCTCAGGGGAACTGAGCCCAAGGAGAGATCTCACCCTCATCCCCTGCCAGAACCACGAAGGCTGGGCTGGGTGCTGGCAGGAGCTGCACCCCGATGCTGGAGGAGTCTGCTTTGGGTCAGTGCTTTTTGAGTGTCTCACAGTCAGAGAGCAAAAATGCGCTGATCCTCGTGGATCAGCAAACAGCACCCCGAAGCAAATGGGGTCTGAGAACCATCCCCTAAGAAAACAGGATCCAAGCACCATCCAGGGAGCAACAAACCCCCCAGGTTCCTGTTAATGGCAGCTGAGTGTGCATGCCGTGATCCTCCTTCCTTGCCCAGATGTATCAAGACTGATGCAATCGCTGCACAAGTGCTGCATTCCTTGGGATGCTCAGTGAGAGATGTGTCTCCTGCTGTTCCCATTCAGCATCGCCTTGGTTCACAGCTCTGTCCTTCCTCAGACAAGAGGGCCACGTGGTTTGCAGGTGGGCTTGGGTTTTTTGGGCCTTTTTGGGTTAGGACCCATAAAATGGAGGAAAGAGATGTGGGGAGGAATGACCTTTTCCACCTCGGGATGTGAGATGAGTTTGGAGCATCCTCAGCCCAGCAGAAGAGAAAGCAACCAGCAAAACATTGGAAGCAAGAGCAACCTTGGGATTAGGACAATTAGAAGCTGCTGGGATTTGCATAGCCTAATTAAAGATTCACTGAGCAGACACAACGAGACACAGCCTGAGCAGCCGCCCCGTGCTCAGCATTTCCCTGTGGCTGCCCTGGGTCACGTTTCAGGGCATGATTCACATCCCACACGTAGGAGATCTCTGCTCTCACAAGCTGAAATAGGAGCTGAGTCCTGTGGGACCATCCCACAGAAAATGGATGGGAGCAGCCAGGGGTTTAGGACCCAATTTAGGGCAGAATTTTTCATTTTGAGCAAGGAGGGCAACCTGTGATGCCATCCCAGATACTCCTCACTTTTGGCACTGGGTTTACTTCTCAATCCAATGACCCCAACTCATCAACCCAACAAACCCAACTTCTCAAACCCAAATCCCCAACTTTTCAACCCAACAAACCCAACTTCTCAGCCCAATGAACCCAACTTCTCAACCCCAAACCCTCAACTCCTCAACCCAACAAACCCAATTCCTCAACCCAGTGAACCCAACTTCTCAACACAAAATCTTCATCTTCTCAACCCAACAAAACCAATTCCTCAACCCAACAAACCCAACCCCAAATCCCCATCTTTTCAACCCAACAAACCCAATTCCTCAACCCAATGAACCCAATTTCTCAACCCCAAACCCCCAACTCCTCAACCCAACAAAACCAATTCCTCAACCCAACAAACCCGACTTCTCAACCCCAAATCCCCAACTTTTCAACCCAAAAAACCCAATTCCTCAACCCAACAAACCCAACTTCTCAGCCCAATGAACCCAACTTCTCAACCCAAAATCCCCATCTTTTCAACCCAACAAACCCAATTCCTCAACCCAACAAGCCCACTTCCTCAACCCTATCATCCCAACTTCTCAACCCAATGAACCCAACTTCTCAATCCCCAAACCCCAACTTATCAACCCCAAAACTCCAACTCCTCAGCCCAATGATCCTAACTTCTCAATACAACTCAACCCAATGGTGTTTTTTCCATCTGTTGTCACAAAATGTGTTTCCCCACTCATTGGCAATACCCATAACAACAATTAACCCTGGAACAGCCCCGGATGGGATTTTTTTTTCCACCCATATGAGCACCGCTTCTTGTTGAGCTTTGGACCTTGGACCTTTTCCCTGCCACCAGGTTGCAGGGAGCAAGGCTGAAGTCACTGCAACAGCTGGAGTTTGGCAGCATTGCCTTTCTCCTCCTCCCCGTATGCCACGTGCAGGGAAAGCTGCATTGGGGTTGAATCCAGGAGCAAAAGGAGGAAAATCCATCGGGATGCGGGCAGCCCTGCTGGTTTGCAGAGAGCTGGATGCCATCCCAACTCACTGCTTGAGAAGTCGTCCTTGAGGGTTTGTTTTTATTTTTAACCTTT